ATAGGCCTAATCACTACATACGCTTTGACCAACCGAAAGCACTTGCGAAAGAAAAAAGATTCTTCCCAAGATTGGTACGCGAAGCCATTGAAATCAAAAAACACCCCAATTTCAATAGAGAAGACGGCCTAAAATTGTCAAACACCTGGGATCCAAGAATATCCAAATTAAAATCTCAAGAAAAACAATCCGCGAAAATAGAGGACACTGTGAGCCATTTTTGCCAAAACCCTCCATCTTTTAGTCGATACCAACTCCGGGGTAATAAATACAGATAAGGCAACTTTCTCTACAGCTGTAATACTTTTTGACATCCAACATCTTTTGTCTTCAGTTACCGTGACCACGCACGCTGTAAAGCACGCGAAACGTCGGATAAATTTAAAATTATGTTAAATAATTGTAAATTTATAATAATACATAACTTTAATCCGGTTAAACAGTTTTTTCTTTAAATGTGTGTAAAGGTTATGTAAATCAAAGACAATACTATTTAATTGTTTTGATTAGAAATTGATTTTTTTTATAATGTTTTTGATTGATATTTGTATGATCTCTACATGTACGTCATGTTTCCCTTTAAGCGCTTGTCACATTAAAAATTGTATTTTGTGTTTGTTTTAACCAATGTAACAGATCTCCGCGCGCTTGCAAGCTTTTAATCATTTAAAAAAATAGTTGAAGAAAGCGGTAGCCACGCAACTTAACGTGGTGACCTGGATACACAACTTTGTTGTTGTTTGACGTTCTGAAGAAAATTAATTTCACCACATTGAATCAAATTTATTAATAATTCAGCGCATATACAAGCGAAGATCATCTCTCCATATGAACGAATGGATAAATAGCTATTTCGTTATAAATCTATTCCAAGTAACTCACTTCTACTACCTAGGTCCTAGAGTAACAGGGACTATTTCCGTTCTCAAGTATCATATTATAAACATAAAGGATAAGGATTCTTGAAACTCTAGGGAAGCTTGTTTGCTTTTCCCTGCTACAAAGCCAGGATAATTGATAGCTTTAAGTCAAATAAACCATTTCATACTCTTTATAAATTCTAAGAATTGTTACGGTTTAAAGGTAAAAATTCAAACGAAAGCACTCATTAAATATAACCATCTATTAATTGCGTGGTAGGCAACAAATTTTACACAAATTGGAAACGAGAAAAAAATTTATAAAACGTATTTTGTGGAATATGCTAATCTTGTTAATTAGAGGGTGCTGTCCTCTCAGTGGCTGTTGAGAAAAATACGTTGGCTGGAGCTGAATTATGATAGACATTAATATCGTCTGCACTTCCGCTCGCTAACCGCGTATTTACCAACCCCTAAACCTACCCGACCCGAACCATAGACCAGATACTTCAGCTAAACCACTATAATAAACGTCAACCTGTACGTCTACAATATTAATAGGTTTTTTTGGTGTTTACTCCTTAAGAAACGATTTGAGTTATAAGGCCCGGTACGGAAATTTTATGAGGAATAAAATCAAGTGTAACACGAAAAGTTGAGGCGTTATGTGTAACACGAAAAGTTGAGGCGTTATGTAGAAAGAGACAAACATATATATCTGTAGGATTGAACGTGTAAAAGAATGAGATGGAATACATTACACAGACTTTTCTATTTTGAATTCACGTTTTGTAAGCCACGTTACAACAATGTCAGTGTTGACAGGTGTAAAAAATAAAAGTAGATTGTCTAGCGTGCCATAGAGTTTTGTCAATAGTAATGGTCAGTGAAATTAACACTAGTATGAAAATATGGTCGACAGCCACAAAACATTATCGCCATTTTATCGTTCGTAAGGAGTAAACTCCAATCGTGCGTCGTAGCTGACACACACACACTTTTTTTTTTAATATTACAAATGTTTTACTTCTGTTCTTATTAAAGCTTTATTGCTTTGTATTAATCTACTAGCGGCCCGCCCTGGCTTCGCACGGGTGGACATTAATTTTTTAAACATTTTTTGTAGATATTGATATGTTCTTTAATATTGTGAAACATTTTTTGTTTTATCTTCAATCGTTTTTGCAGCGCATGCGATGAAAGATATTTTGAGTGATAATATAGCATTCCAATGGTGTAAGAATTTTTAAAATCGGTCCAGTACTTTTTGAGCCAATTCGTTGCAAACATACTTACACACAAATCTTTCCTCTTTATAATATTAGTATAGATTAAAAGGCGAGCAATGCACTTGCGAGCCTTCTTGCAGTGTAAGTGGTTTTGGGCGGCGGTATCGTTTAACATCAAGTGAGCCTGCCCTCTCTTCAATTATAAATTTAAATATTTTAAAATATTATATAGATATAATATACAATACTAAAAATGTTACGGTTACGGAATTTTTTTGCATAGAAAAAGTAAATAAATAATGTAGAAAATATTATATATTGCGTATGAGAAATCAAATATACGTTTGAGATGATATAATAGCAGTGTAATTTAAAAGCCTACAAAACATTCCATTCTTATAGCCATTAATAGAATTCTGAAATTAAGTCTTAAGTCGCTGATTTACTTGAGCTATATGTAAACTCCTGAATTATAGCCAAGGGGAACCAAAACATCTACAAATGTCCGAACAAGAACAAAGCTAATGAACTGCAACTTTAAATTATAGCCCCCTAAATGTACAATAAGTAACTTTATTATTCATTACTATCGACTTACAATAAATGGTTGCAATATTTATATTTTAACTCGCACAAAGGCCTACTTCATTTACGTAAAATAAACTAAAGGAAAAGTAGTACAAAAAGTACATTAAATATATGATTCTATGGCTGCAGCCTACCGCGCTCGGTTTGCGGTGGCGTCCATTTGAAAAAGAACTCAAAGAGCGATAGAAATAAAAATAGCCTAGTAAAGTATAAGTGTAAAGCCCGGCAAACAGTGAGGTGAGAGGAAAGAGCAGTTCTGTAAATCAGCTGTACCGCTCTCGAGATTTATGCGCAAATAAAACGACCACAGCATTCGCTCGGCCATTCCGCGAAGTTATTTCAATTTAACGCTACGTACGCACATATACAACAAATTAACGCAAATCACCCAAATGAACGATTACCTCATTAGCATCCGCTAATTAACTGGTCGTAATTTGAAATTGTTGTGACCCACTCGCCAGACTGTGGGATTCATTCAAACAAGTGCATTGACCCCAGGTAAGGGATGGTAAACGTTTAAAACAGATTTTAGCCACGGTTGGATTGAATGGTTCATTACATAGTAATCGCGTATTTTTACTTGTATATACTAAAATTGAATGGCGTAATAGGTTGTTATAATATTCTTGAAAATTTAAATGTTGAAAGTAAGTGTGACTCGTATTTATAAAAAATAAATTAAAATTAAAATAAGTTTCGTATGTATAAAATATTTTCGGTTAATTGATATTAATATCTATAGATATATCAAGTTTTGAATTTGTAGTAAAAGTATCTCTCGAGTTAAATTCTGTCCACAGCGTTAGAGAGACGAGGTTAATATTGTTTACCTAAGTCTACACAAACAAAGTCGCGAACAGCTCCAAACTGAAAGTTTAATTAACAGAAAGAACGCTGGAAAGTGTAAAAGAAATGCATTTTCACAATATTGTCACGTCTGAATGATGTTGCAATGCAATTTCACGCAATGCTTGCGTCGAAACTTGTTATATTAATACCCATTCCGTTTATATTCACATGTGGAATATTATAAACGAGAGAAGGCCTCAATGGTATTTTATTTAATTTAAAAAGACAGCATTCCATTAAAATAAACAGATAAAGAAGTATTTTTGTACAGTCCTTTTATGATGAATTAATTTATGGTATAAACAAAATATCTAAAATACGCCTAAAAATTTTATCAAATAATTAAAAATACGCCTGTTTTTAAAATATATATTTTTTTTTTTCTTTTTTTTTTTTTTTTTTTTTTTTTTTTTTTTTTTTTTTTTTTTTTTTTTTTTTTTTTTTTTTTTTTTTTTTTTTTTTTTTTTTTTTTTTTTTTTTTTTTTTTTTTTTTTTTTTTTTTTTTTTTTTTTTTTTTTTTTTTTTTTTTTTTTTTCCCCCTCCTTTTTTCTCCCCTTTTTTTTTTTTTTTTTTTTTTTTTTTTTTTTTTTTTTTTTTTTTTTTTTTTTTTTTTTTACATTTTAAATCAATTCAGAATAAATGGACTGTAAATCATTCACATCACTGAGATTTCATCGTTGATAATTTCTCAGTACATAATATGTGATTCTTTAACTGAGGCGTCATTAAATGTTTGATTCTAAAATATTTTTTCCATATTACCTTACGATCGCATAAAGAAATAAAAGTTCGATCGGCGGACCCATGCGACTTCTTCGATACAAAAAGTAGCGTCGATATTGGTGCCCCGCGATGTCGCAGGGTATACGGAGGTATGTTTATTGGAGGTTACAGTGGGCTCTGGTTAGCGTAGCGACCTGATTCGTAAATTGTCATGTTATTTTGACAAATGTCAGTTGTCTTACTTATTTCAAATTTGTTGGTTGTATGTTTAACAAGTGTGATGTTAAAGCATGAGCAGGATAATAAACTACGTGCAGAATCTAATTTTGCTATAATTTTTATAGTAGGCGCAACTAAAATTATTGCTGACCATGAGTTTTATGAATAAACTAAAATCAGTGATAGTCTTAGAATTAATTAAAATTAATAATATTTTTTTAGTATCAGATTTGGTAACATTTCTTACCTACGTACTTTTGTACCATTTTACCAATAAAAATAAATTCATTTTTTTTACACACAACATATTGAAAAAGGATGCGTCAGAGATATTATTTAAATAGTTGTAATAAAAGCAACGACCACGGTTACAATATATTTAAAAAAATAGAAGTTTTGCCCTATAATGTCAGTATTCATAGTCATAGACAATATATATTAATATAAATGGTGAATGTCACTCCACGATATAGAATAAAAACAAAATTTAAAAAACCATAAATTTATTAAAACTATCGAACATTCAATATTATTTGTCATTTAGAGAAAATTTTACTAGCTTTTCAGATTCTGTCCAAAGTCTCTTCGCTATTTCAGCGTCTTGTGACAGTAGAGATGGTTTGCTTTTACGACAGTTACTGAAATAGCACCCACTCTCGTCTTTGACGTCTCGTGATGCGGCCAAATATATAGAAGTCTGTGCTGCTTCCCACGGGCTTTGGTATAAAAATCCTACACTTAAATTTACTAGTTTACGAATAAGTGGAGATTTTATATTCCTAAATATATTTGTTGCACACACGCCCGGATGCAACGCATTCACAGTCACTCCAGTTCCCTTAAGTCTCTGAGATAATTCTAATGTCATCAAATTCATGTACAATTTACTATTAGCATACACTAAATAATCACTCCAATATTTTTCCATGTTCAAATTTTCAAAGTTCACTTCCGCATCGGCATACTTGTGCATGACTGACGACACGTTAACAATGCGACTAGGCGCTGATGACTTCAATAAAGGTAATAATAGGCACGTCAACAAGAAAGGCCCGAAATAATTCACTTGCATTCCAACGTGATTCCCATCTTCTGTTTTGTAATTTCCGAGCCCACCCGCACCTGCATTATTTATGAGCACATCCAGACGACTTTCCGTTTTGTATATTTTTTCACAGAATTCACGCACAGAGCGTAATGAAGCTAAATCCAAATGCCTATAAACAACTTCAGTATTACCGGTGACCTTAATTATTTCATCCTTGGCTTCTGTCGCGCGTTTGATACTCCGGCACGCGATTATCACTCTAGCCCCACGCTCCGCCAGATTCTTGGCGGTCTCAAGGCCAATGCCACAATTTCCACCTGTTATTATTACAACTTTCCCCACCATGTGGGCACTTGAATAACATATTCCACATGTCAACTTTTGATATATCTTCACAACAACCGCAAATAACGTGATTACGCTAACAATTAACACTAAGTAAAACATTGTCGACACTGCATAGATTAAATGGTTATTTAAATAAATGTTAGTCGGTAATTTATATAAACCATGAGTGTTACACTAGATTATAGCGACTGTTTCTTTTTCGTGTGTCGTTTGGTTGATAAGAGAATTATCGTGATAACTAGTACGTATCGTGACGGTTATGCTGGCAATGCGCCTGGACCGTAATATTCACTGTACTTAACATACGCCGTCGACCGTCTTGATCTTGACGGCTCTTGCGTAATGCGTGAGATGTCACTTGTTGTGGTCACTAGTCTGTCTATAGTACGCGTCACTTTGAATTGTAGGTACAAGTCGTCGGAAATATCTGCGAACCTGGCTTAATGACGTCATACAAACTGGAGAGATAGCAAAAAAATTGAAGATGTAAAAATAAAAAATATTTTATTTGTGTACTTATTTTTATTGATACTCGTACCTACCCATCTTACATACAGCACTAAATAGGTAGCTTATGTAATATTTCACCAAACAGAGAAACAATAAACACTAAAATGCGATTACGAAAGCAAGAATAATACACGTGCGGCGTCGGCGATTGCGTTGGCAACGGTACTGGATAGGCGAAAACGGGGCGGGGTGCGGGGGCGCCAGGGGAAGCGCATTCCAGCGAGGTTCGCAGATATTTCCGACGGCTTGTATAGGTAATGAACATACTACACATTTATCTCTTGGCGTGAATGGTAAAACCATACTAACGCATGAATTTAATAATATGACAGTTTATTTTCCTGTCATTGGTCATTCATTGACATTTTCAAAATATTGAACTTCCTAAGTCTAAACAACATTAAATTATAATTAGGTACATATTATACAATAGGTCAAACTTAACAAAGCTAAAATTAAATAAAATCTTTACCAACATATCAAAGAAATTTGTTTGAACAAATTTTACTCAAGGAAGGTCAACGACCGTATCTTATGGAACTCATATGACTCAAACCCGATAGGCTTGACGCTTACTTGAATGGCCTTGAGACCATAAAATATTTAACCTCAAACATTTTGTTAATTTATATTTTTTGGTTTAATCCATTATTTAATATAAAATATTTAAATGACATAATGTATTGCTTAGTTAATCTTATATTAAAACGTAAATATATTAAATTTAAATATTGCTTAATAAAAAAAAACCTTTATTCAAATTAGATAGGGTTTTATTTCAAGTAACGAGTTTTATTTAAGAAGAACAAATAAAAATATTCAAGACATCTCGAACATCAATCTCGTGGCTTCATATTTTTGTATTAATAACAAAAAAAATATTAATAAGAAAAACAATTCTAAGATATTAAACAAGTCCCAATTAATAAAAATTTTCGTTTTGAAAAAAATCGCGCCTATTGCTTACCAAACGTATATTTGATAATAAAAACTTCAAGGCGCAAACTTTATGCTAGCTATACGGTAAGATACTTATGCATAACTTTCGTATGATCTATAATCTATATTTTTGCCGAAGCTAAACCATTCTTCACATTTTATGTTAAAGGTAGCTCGACTGTCTTATTATTATTCATTTGTTTATTTTCTAACAATCAAATCAAAATCAAAATACGTTTGTTCAGTTTAGATGCGTCTTAGGGCATGCTTATGAATGTCAAAAACGTTTACTAATTCGCGAAAGAGCAAGACTACGCCATCCGTTCGCAAAACTACCAGGAGGCCTTGTTCTGAGAAGAATGGGCAACTGAGCAAGTTTTACCTCCTCTACAATTTCATTATCAGAAAATCATAACCACTCTACAAAGTTACATAAGTAAAAAAAATAAAAATCTGTTCTGTGATTTACCACATTCACCATTACACACATATTCACAACACTTCAAAGATAACAAAACAAACTATAACAATATAATTAGAACTATTGCCAAGCGTTTTTGTCTTCTAGGTAGTCATTAACTGTGTAGTAACCTTTACACTTCGTTGAATTAAGAGTACTTACTACACAATCAAGTAACTTTATTAATTATAATCGTATTAATTGACATATTAAGCATTGTGTTGTTAATCTAAATTAAAACTCATTTTCTTTTAAAATTACGTTCGATAAGATCGAGGATGAGAACGAGTAAAGAACATTTTACGAGCTTGTTAAGTCTTATAATTGTTGAACTTGCCCGTGGCTTTAACCTACCATTAGCGACTTAGGAACTCTTCCGCTAAGCTTGAGATAAGATCTTTTGAATTTTGTATGCGAATATTCAAACACCTTTAGATATAATTATGTTAATTATGAAAAAGTGTTGCCGGAGTCAAATAAAAGGGTTTATAATATACACAACAATAATTCAGTCCTGCCACTATGTCTTGAAAAAATCCAAAAACTTGATGGTAAAATAAATGTAAGTAATCTTAATTTGTTCTGTCTGGTTTTTTGGTTCGGCAACAATTTATTCATTTATTTAGTTTCCTTATTTCCTATTTTTACTCTAACTTAATACTAATACAATAGGACACGAAACTAAAAACA